TTAGTGAACTGCGAATTCCCATAGCTTCCAATTCAATCAAGAGTCTTTTATGTGGTACTATATCAAAGGCTTCACTAGGATCAAAATAAATAACGACAACAGATAGATGGTCAATACGAAGAGAGGTAATTAGATTGAGAAACGACAGATGACATGTTTCACAAGAGCGATCTGGTAAAAAGCCATGCTGGTAAGGGCTAATAACATGATTGGATATGCAAATGCCGATAATTTTTAGGGAAATAATATTTTCAGAGATTTTGGCGAGGTAGGGTGCTTTATGGACACCTCGATAGTTCTGAACGTCATAACGACAGCCAGACTTAAATACTGGAATAATATTATAAGTTTTCCTATAGTCAGGAAAGAAGCCATTTACGAGGGATAATGAAAAGATTTTGCTAAGCAGAGAAGGAAAATCCCGTAGCTGTTTTATAAGAGAGTTTGGGATATTGTCCGTTCCTACTGAGTGACAGTTAGGAAGATGGTTTATCAATTTTTGAATAGTTTCAGGAGAAAAATTAATGATGTTAAGAGAAGCATCAGACAACGGAGGAATTAAAGGGATTGGGTCAGTTTCAATGGTGAAATGTTTGGCAGAGAACGAATTTAAAATTTCCGCCTTGCGTGACTCCTCTGTAGTGAAGGCATCGCTAGTATTAAGCAAAGGCGGAATGACTTGGTGGGACTTAGCAGATGATTTTTGACGGAAGATCAGAGCAAATGATTTAGAAGCATTCACGTCATTAACAGCTAAAGGCTCTACGCCTCATTTTGAAAGCTAGTTCGCATATTTCAACGATTCTTAGATGAACTGATAATGAGCTCACAGCAGGATCTTTCAACTGCTTGCGTAGCTTTTCAAGCCGGTTTTTAAGAAAGTATGGGACAGCGGTGGAATTAGCACTCGATTTGAACGTCTTCTGTGGAATTAGGTCGAGAAGACCTTCTGTTACTTATTGCGATAAATTGTTGAAAAAATTTAGATCATTATTTGAAAAAATATTGGTGCAATCAAGAGTGCATGTAAAGTTATTTACTAATTCCTTGTTAATATTAGCAAAGTCAAAAACACTACGTTGTACTGCTGGCTTTGTGGAAATGGCAACTGGAAGCCGACAATAGATTAATGCATGATCACTTGCAAAATGGTCATGATAGAAATCCATAGATAGAGGGAAGGTGCCATCAGTAAAAATTAAGTCTAAAACACCATTCTTTCTGGTCGAAGAGTGAACTAATTGAGTTAAGGTTGAAAAGTAAATGGTGTCAAGCAGCATCTGGAATCTAGGAGGAGAAGTATGTGTGTACCAGTCAATTTCTGGCAAATTAAAATCGCCTACGATGATCTTGACATCGAGAGAAGTCTCTGCAATTTTTTCAGAGTTCACAGACTTGGCTTTCATTTCCGGAGGAACAAGGAGGCTTGTATACACATCCGACTAAGGCTTTCCTATTTTGCGGAAGGATTACCGAAGCAAAACATAAATTTCCAGAGAAGGAGGAAATGTTCAAGTCACAAGGCGATTGTGCAAGTGAGGCTCTTATGTAAAGAAGGCAACCACCGCCGCGGCTTTCCACACGATCCTGGCGGTATAAACTGAGGCTATCTATATTGATTGCCGAGTCTAAAATTAGATAGTGAGCCCAAAATTCTGTAATGCACAATACGTCTGTGTCAAACTCAACAGCTACACTTCTTAGGTGTGCCAACTTTTTCACGACAGATTTTGCGTTGAGAGAGACAATGCTGGGCGTATTCCTAATATGTAGGTTCCGCTCATTGCTACTTATAAAAAAGGAAGATCCGGAGGTGGAAAATTAAGCTGTTGGAACGTAGCATTTGGTGGAAGACAAAGTTGGTGTGGTCTAAAATTTGTGGGGTAAGTACTACTAACTAGAGATGCAGCATTATGTGGAAAAACATTTGAGGAGGACCCAGGAAGACGAAAGCTATTTTGTTGGGTTGGAAAAATAGGAGGCATGAAAATAGGATTTTGGGAATTGTAAGCATAATATGAGGGGTAGTTTATGTTAGGTAGCGGACGTATTGGTTCGGGGAAACAGTTAACATCAGGAAAGGGCTTGATTACTTGGGGTGTCAGACAAGCAATGGGATTGGAAAAGTTATCAGCAATGATATATACTTGCATTTTGCAGGCTGGTGTGTAAGAG